AGACTACGAGGTAAATGTAGCAAACAATATCGACAGTGATAATGATCGTTCTTGGTGCTTTCCCTAAAATCAATCGATATCAGGTTCATTTCTCATTTCTCAAGCCAAAGTCATCGATTGCTGTCGTGCACTTACCCTCCAGCTTCTTATTAAACCCCAGAAGGCTTGTAAATAAATGGGATTTGTCTCCTTCGAATACCGAACATATCATTGTCTGGCTTAGAGTTCGACTATATGGCTCTACTTTGCCATTTTCATTATCACTGAGTGGTTTTTCCCACGTATGCTCAGGTGCGTTGAGAGCTAGCTTTGTGAACCGTGACACATTTTTTGAAATAATTTACTTGATTACATTTTCCGGGGGAAGGGAGTTCCTCAGTAACTGATTGCACCACATAAAAACTCACTGCAGGTGTGTCGTCAGCTCAAGTCACGTTTTCTGGGTTTAGGGGGGACGTGCGCAGCGCACGTTGAGGTTGAACTATCATCCGGGCGCTAAGTAGTTTCCTTTTTCTTGCTAAGATAATTTTTTCATGAAACTGATGCCTATTGGTTAGACTTTTTCAGCCTAAAGATCCTTGACAGAAAAATATAAGGACTTGGTAAGACGATTTTTGGTAGTGTTAGTCTTTGCTTTCGTTTGCTGTGATGTAGTGCGTAATATGCTGCTGACTTTTGAGGCTGAAAAATAAATGGCTAATTCGTGCCAAAATTTTCCACCAATGACCGCTAGCGTTGCCGTTGCATGTGACTAATTTCTTGTCGTCATTCAAGAACCTGAATCTTCGGCTTCCCCGGTGTGACTGATTACCATTCCCTCCAGTCTCTCAATCACGGAACTGCAATTTGTACATTTGAATTTCGAATTTTAAACGTACCTGTGAGCTGTCATATTAGTGAGTGTGACAACTGTATTCCTTTCAGGTTAGCACGACTATTTTCATAGGTACTTCAATTTTTAAGAGGCTTTGAGAAAACGCGTTGGGGCCGTCAGTCTAGTTTCAGGTTCTGTGAACTGATGAAAACGACAACTGTTGATTTTGGGCTGAATTCATTTGCTGTCCTAGATACCGGTTAATTAAACGAGAAAAAGAGCACATTTTTGAAGGCCATAACCATCGAAGACATGAATGCTGGTGACTTTCGCGCGTGAACGGAGTCAGAATGGTAGGAATCGTCAAAGTCCAAAACATATTTATCCTCCAAAGTCCCAAAAGTCAAATTATGCTAAGGTCCTACAGACCGCACAGAAGACTAAGGCAGGTTTCGGATCACCATCCCGCATTTTAGAAACTTGCTTCATCATTTACATAATCATTTTCCAAGACTGTAGGCCTGTCGAAAGTAGTGTGGTCGACAAGATAAAGATTCCCAATCAAAAGTCAGGGAAGACGGTTTGAGTTGGACAAACTTTACTGCTTGGAAAGCGTGTACACAAAGGCTGTGTGGGCAGTCGCCGCAAGCGCGCTCCAAGCAAGCTGTTCTCTGCGTCCGCCCTCGAGGTGTTGTATCAGCGCGTGTGTGCGCCCTTCGTTGTCTCAATCTCAACAGCCAATCAGAGTGGGGGCAGCGTTGATTGGCTTCGAGCACTCGCGCATCCCATCAGCGCATCGACAAGGAGTGTGAGGCGGACAGGAGGGCAGCGTGACAAAGACGGAAAGCGAGGAGACGCGAACCGCCACAGTACCCCCCGGCTAGACCGAAGGTGGCGCGTAGCGGCGCCGAAGGAACTGTTGATGTCTAAAAAACATGAGTAACGAAACGGTCAGGAAAGTGAACATGGCGTCCACTACGGGTGATATATACAGGGGGCACAAGATTAGAGTGAGTATGGCTCGCGGTTACAGTGTTGTTTGTTGATGAAGGGGTAGTTGCAGTTGGGAGTTGTGGACATGAGGACAGAGGAAGTATACGGGACGGTGGAATAGAGGGTCGGGGAGGCGGAGTAGGGGGTAGGGGACCACAGGGCTCATCCGGAGGAGTGTCCGGGACGGCAGCTTTGAGATGGTCCACGCTCACGACCTCCTCGCGAGTGCCGCGTTGGATGCGGAAGTTCTTCGTCCCACGAGAGATAACTCGGAATGGGCCATCGTAGGGTGGTTCCAGGGGCCGGCGGACTCGATCACATCGGAGATAGACGTGAGAGCATGTTGCCAAGTCCTTCTCGAGATAAGACGGAGAGGCGGAGGACCTGGGAGGAACCGGAGAAAGTGTCCGCATAAACTGCCGGAGACGATGCAGGAGGTTTG